CATGACCTCCCACCCCCATGGCCTCCCACACCCATGACCTCCTACTCTCCGTGGCTTTCTCTTCTTTCTCCCTCCTCATTCAGCCTAGGGGACCTGGCCTTTGGACTCTGATCCCCAGGCCTTCCCTCTGAGACTGCTACCCCCTCCCTACATGAAGATTGGCTGCCCACCAATCTTCATGGCCACCCTGACCTCTGCTGGTAGGCACTGACCTTGGACTCCATGTGGAGGGAGATGGACAGTGGGCAGAGCCGCTCCTAAGGCCTCTTGGAGGCCCTCACACCCCAGACCTGCCCAGCGGCTCTCTGCAGTGCCTGTGCCTGCCTAGCACCACTGGAGGCCACCAACTGGACTTGGGGCTGGCGGCTGGCTGAGCCTGACTCAGGGCCGGGTCTGGCCCAGGTGTCCAGCCCTTGCCTCGTAGCAAGCCCTGGTCAGAACCTCGGCACCAGGGGAGAAAACCTGGCCTGTCAGCCTGACCTGAGGCACTGACCAAACTTCTTCCTGCCCCTCATGGGCACTGCCCACTGCCACCCCCTCTAGGGCACCCAGGTCCCCTCTCACCTCTGCCTTCCTTTGTGCAGGCTGGGCCACCTTCGCAGTGGGGCCAGGCCACGGGGTCCAGCTGCGCTCAGGCCGCCTGCTGGTTCCTGCTTACACCTACCGAGTGGACCGCCGGGAGTGCTTTGGCAAGATCTGCTGGACCAGCCCCCACGCCTTCGCCTTCTACAGTGATGACCATGGCCGCACCTGGCACTGTGGGGGCCTGGTGTCCAACCTGCGCTCTGGCGAATGCCAGTTTGCCCCAGTGGACGGAGGCTTCCTCTACTGCAATGCCCGGAGCCCCCTGGGCAGCCGTGTGCAGGCACTCAGCCCCAATGAGGGCACATCCTTCCTGCCCGGGGAGCTTGTGCCCACCCTGGCTGAGACTTCCCGGGGCTGTCAGGGCAGCATCGTGGGATTCCCTGCCCCACCCCCCGGAAGGCCTCAGGATGAGGGGCAGTCGCCGGGCACCAGGAGTCTCCCTCCCCCTCCCCCCCTCTGTCCTGGGGTCCTGGAGCCCTCTGGGGAGGGTGCTGAAGACCCTAATGGGGGCTTGGTGTCTTCTCAGCCCTTCTGCCTCCCACAGCCCTGGGGGAGTGGTCCAGTGGAGCCTGGCCCTGAACCTGGGCTTGGTGAGGACCGGGGGGCCGGGATCCCAATGCTCCCCGGGCCCTCTGCTGCCCCACCTCGAAGCCCCACATGGCTGCTGTATTCCCACCCTGCAGGGCGCAGGGCCCGGCTCCACATGGGCATTTACCTGAGCCGGTCCCCCCTGGACCCCCACAGCTGGACAAAGCCCTGGGTGATCTATGAGGGCCCCAGTGGCTACTCTGACCTGGCCTTCCTAGGGCCTGTGCCTGGGGCGACCCCAGCCTTTGCCTGTCTGTTTGAGAGCGGGGCCAGGGTCTCCTATGAGGAAATCTCCTTCTGCATGTTCTCTCTGCCCGAGATCCTGGAAAACGTGCCGGTAGGCCTTGAGCCACCCCCCTCTGGGGACAAACCTCAGGGGCACTGCAGGCCCTCTTGATGGGCCCTCTGGCTGGGCACCCTGGGGGGGGGGGTGGAGGACACAGAGAGGAAGGCTGGGGTGACCACAGGATGGACAGAGCTCTGCACCCGGCTTCTGCCCTGGCCGTGGAGGGTGAGTGTGGAGGACCCTGCCAGTGGAGGTGGAGAGGTTTGCATGTGGGTGGGGTGGGAGAAGGCCTCTTCCCAAGGCTGACCAGGTGGCCACTGCAGCTCTGGAGCTGGACAGTGAGCCTCAAGAGCCAGGGTCTCGTCTGCCCAGATTTTCCTTCCTCCTGTTCAGCAGACAGCTTGCTGCTCTCTGGAGTGAGAACCAGCGATAAAGGGCTGAGTGGTGTGTGGTGCACGTTCCCATGTCCGAGCCCTGGGAAGGGCGCTGTGCTCTATCTAGCCCCTTCCCCAACCCCCTGCCTCAGACCTCCCTGCCCTAACCACGCTGCTCCCAAATGCTCGGGGGTGGCCGGCAGAAAGGAGGTCAGGAGGAGAAGAGGCCTTGTGCCTCTTCTGTCTGCTGTCCACTTGGTGCTGACCCCGCCATTCTGGGATGTGTTGATGGGTAAGCTCTTCCTGTCTCTGAATTCTGTCTGCAGAAGCAACTGCGCTCCATCCTGCTTGGCTGCCCCTGCCCCCCTGCCCAGAGGAGGGCGCGTCTCCTGGGACCAACCAGTATGCCCTGTGCCCCGGAGAGGGCTCTGGTTGCATGGGGGCTGCTTTTAAAGTCCTACTTTCTAATGATAAAATTGTATCTATTTCTTTCTGTTTTGGGGGGGACTGGGGATTGAACACAGTGGTGCTTGACCACCGAGACACATCCTCAGCCCTTTTTTGTATTTTTCAATTTGAGTCAGGATCTCACTGAGTTCCTGGGACCTTGATGAATTGCTGAGACTGGAGTCCTGGAGCCACTGGGGTTACAGGCATGTTCCACCACGCCCGGCTAATTATATCTAGAAGACAGATAACTCTCTTGTCTGTCATCTGTCATCTATTTACCGATCAATCACCTGTCATCTAGCTGTCAATCATCTATCATCCATCAGTCATCTATCTATCTATAGGCATGTTGCAGAAAAGATGCAAGATGTAGACAGCTCTCAAGAAGGACTGGAAGTGCCCCGAGGAGCCTCTCCTGGGCTGTGCGTGGTCTTCTGTGTGCCTCCCTGACCTCTGGCTTGCTGGGCACTCTTGGCCAGCCGTAGGTCTCACACGCCCTTATGTCATTTCTTCACGAGTCCCTGTCCTGTGACCAGCTCCTTGGGTGTTTCTGGTCTGAGCTCCTCCTGAGGTTGCATGGCCGCCTTGGGCTGTCTTCCCCGCAGTGTGCCGCATCCAGGAAGCCTCCAGGCTACACAGGGTCCCCGAGGGAGCAGAGGACCTCTTCATTCTGGGGCTCTGTGCTGCTGGCAGGGAGCTGCTGTGGGGGTCACCACTGGGCTTCAGTCAGGGGCAGGAGGAGGAGAGGAGGCCCCTGGCTGCTCAGGCCTGTGGTGACGTGTTTCCTGGGTCACCAGGTCCTGTAGCAGAACCCCGCAGACTGCTGTTTCCTCAGGGTTCTGGGGTCACGAGGGCCTGATTTCTGGCTTGTAGGTGAAGAGTGGGACTCTCTGAGGCTCCTTCGTGGGCGCTGATCCCTCCCGAAGGCCCTACCTGCTCACGCTGCCATCTTGGGGGCAGGGATCTCAGCACCCTCCTGGGGACGCATTTGGACCCTCAGCTTCCGTGTCTGAGTCAGAGAAGAGCAGGTTTCTCTGAGGTCCTGGGGCCACATGGCTGGAGTACTTATAGCCCCTCCTCTTCACTCACTGGGGCCAGCTGTGTCCCCCCCATGCGTGTCCAGCCGGGTCCTCCGATGGTGACCCTCTTTGGATATAGGGTCTTTGGCCTCCATAACCTTCCTGATGAAATCCAGGAAGGCTGCCTGGGTCAGGGTGAGTCCCAACCCCAGGACAGTGTCCTCCCAAGAAGAGGGGACTCTGCTTGAGACAGCTCTCCAGAGGACTGGAAGTGGCCCGAGGAGCCTCTCCTGGGCTGTGCATGGTCTTCTGGACCCAGGAGCCAGAGCAGAGTGGTGGAGTGGTGAACCCCTGAGTGGGAAAAGGCAGGCAGAACCTCCCCAGAGCCTCAGGGAGCGGAGCCGGTGGCCCTCTCACCTCAGATGTGGCTTCCCTTGAGGGTGCTGTGGTCCTGTGTTGAAGCCGCCCTAGAAGTTACGCCACGGTTTCCTCTCTGGCTGTGCTCCCACAGGGACCTCCAGATGTCTGCCGAGCTGCGGGCCTTGTGCTGGCCAGAGCCACTGTGCTCCTCCCCTGCCCAGGGCTGGGTCCGGCCATGGCTGCCAGGCAGGTGGCTTGGCCCGAGGCCATCTGGGACCACCACAGGGTGCTGACCTCTTGAGCAGAGCAACCGGGCCAGGCCAGGCAGGTTTGGGGAGTGCGGCCGCCTCATGGGGCCCAGGCTATGGAGGCCAACCCCGCGGGCAGTTGGACAGGGTAGCAGCCGCTCAGAGGAAGGCCTGGCGGTGCCTGACTGCAAGGCTACAGGAAGGCCCTGTCCCTGGGGCTGGCTTCAGCAGGGGCCGACCTTCTCCAGGGTCTGTTCTGAACTCTGAGCCTAAGACCCTGGGGGAGCTTGCCCACAGGGAGCTAGTACACAGGCCCTGAGGCTGGGCCGAGGTGTCACCGTGCCATGCCCAAGGCTGCCCACTTCCTTCAAGCTCCAGGGACATCTGTGGGGACCACCCACCGGCCTGCAGCCCGCCTTTCCCACACCCTGCTACAGCACGTCTGTGCGGCCCTGTGGTCCCACTCCGCCCTCCCCTTGGTTTCCTCTTTCCAGTCCTGGTGCGCTTCCACAGAGCTACCTCCCCAGACTCAGTTTTTTTTTTTTTTTTTTGAGGCAGGGTCTCCCTAAGTTGCTGAGGCTGGCCTTGAACTTGGGATCCTCCAGCCTCAGCCTCCTGAGTTGCTGGGGTTACAGATGAGTGCCATTGTATTCAGCTGAAAGGAAGGACATTGTGACACATGTTACACATGGGAAGACCTCGAGGACATTATCCTGAGTGAGATTAGCTAGCCCCAGAGACACACCCTAGGTGATTTCAATTACCCAAGCTCCCCAGGAGTCAAATCAAAGAGACAGAGAGTAGGAGGGGGTGCCAGGGCTGGGGAGAGGCCGGTGTTGCAGGGGGCTGGGGGTGGGGCACACAGCGTCTGAAAGTGCTTGCCGCCCCCGGTGCGCACTGTGCCTGGTCAGGGCTCTCACCATAAGAGTTGGGGACCCGCACAGCCCCTGGGGCACAGTGCACTGCCTTGTTCAGCGTCTTCTGACTGGTTCAGGCCGTTTCTAGGCCTTCCCCCAGCAAACAAAGCTGCAGTGAATGTCCAGAGCACGGTTCCTCCCAGACAGAGCCTCGACTTCCCCAGGGTGGATTCCCAAATGTGCAGGGGCCGGCAGAGGCTGCCAAGGCTTCATTGTAGTCGACGATTCCTTCTCCAGCGGGAAGCGAGGGTGCTCGTGAGTGTGCACACCCACTGCATGACAGCCTCCTGTGTCTCCCAACGTGAATGTGCTGAGGGCCCATTGGCACCCCCCGCACTGGGGGCAAAGGTGGAAGGTAGAGGTCAGGGCCACCAGCGTCTCGGCCTCCCCTCTGTCCCATCGATTCCCTCCTTCCTTGCTGGACAGTTCTGTAGGCCCCATTGAGAACACTGAATTGGAGCAGGGCAGGTGAGTGGGGGCCTTCCCAGGTGGCATCTGCAGAGGAGAAGAGAAGGAAAACAACCAACTCTTCTGTGGAGGGGTCATCTTCTTTTACCTCCAAACCTGAGACAAGTCAGGAAGGCACGGAGACTGGAGGAGGCAGAGCCCGTAGGAGGGGCATGGAAGGCTGCCTGGGGCCTCTTCCAGGATGCCCAGGACAAACGAGGCCTTCTACTGCATTTATGAAGAAGCAGAGTGGACGTGAGTCCTGGGGCGTCCATGCTGCATGACCTCTGAACTCCATAGTCTAGGGAGTGGAGTGGCCACGGGGCCCTTCAGCCTGCTGTGGGTGTGGCAGCTCTGCAGTCTGGTCTGCAGAGTCTCAGCTCAGCAATGCCTGTGGTCACCTAGGACCTCCAGTCAAAACTGCCAAAGAAAAAGCATCCTGAGCCCATGTACAAAGTCCGTGGAGACCCAAGGTGGAGAGGTCCTTTTTCAGTGCTGGGGATGGAACCCAGGGCCTTCCTCCAGCAAACAAAGCTGCATTGAATGCCCAGAGCATGGTTCCTCCCAGATGGAGCCTCGACTTCCCCAGGGTGGATTCCCAAATGTGCAGGGGCTGGCAGAGGCTGCCGTGGAACCTGGGGCCCTGCACATGCTGGACAATTGCGCCACCCTAGCTTCGTCACTTTATTTTTGAGACAGGGCCTTGCTAAACTGTCCGGGCTGGCCCTGAAGCAGTGATCCTCCTTCCTCAGCTTCCAGCTTGAGGTTGTGGGTGTGCGCCACGGCGCCTGGCTGAGGCGGGGATCTTAAAGCCAGATGGGAAAGTGGGCTTCAGGAAAGCATGGACTCCCACAGCAGCCTCAGGAACTGGAAAGCACTGGGTGATGCTGGAAGAGAGCTGCCCCCTAAGTCCTGCCAGGGGAAGTGCCTTGGAGAGCGAAGGCCAAGGCCAGTTCTCAGACACGGGCAGTGGCTGATGTGCAGGGGTCCTGAGCGGCTCTGGGTAGGAGCACCTGCTTCCAGACAGAGGCTCAGGCTGCTTCAGTGCGACGGCAGCAGAAGCCTCCGGTGCTCAGCCCTACGCAGGACACATAGTGGACCAGCCCTGGAGTGGAACCGTTCTGCTGGGACCCTCACGTCACCCAGGGGTGGAGCTCCAGTGCACGCTGGTCAGCGCCAGGACACAGTGCTTTCTGGCAAAGCAGCGTGGTCACTAGCTGACCAAGGTGACCGACAGAGACAGGCAGGTGTGGACTTGAAGCAGACCAGGAATGAGAAGAGATGCCCGAGCTGGGAGGGCAGAGCAGGAAGTAGACGTGGGGGGCTGACGTAGACCCCACATGCCCAAACTGCCGTACCCGTGGACTGACTCATGTGCCAACTGAAGGTCCAGGTGGGGCTGGCAGAACCACACCAGAACAGCCCCAGCCCCATACCCAGCTATCCATGACCCCCAGGTGGGGACGGAAGGCAGGGCCTGGAGCATGCCCACAGTGCTCGACCACCCAGCCCCTCCCAGCCCCCAGTCAACCGCACTCCACGGGCCGCAGACACAGATGAGGCACAGAGACACATAAGGCTGGCAGCCAAGGGGAAATGATGACCAGCCACAGGACGGAAGGGGCAGTGAGGCAGGGTACTCACACCTGAGAGAGACCTTGCTGGGGACAAAGGGGATATTTCAAATGATGAACATCTTGGTTTACCAGGAAGTTACAGTGATTCTAAATGTGTCTGGACGTAATACTCTGCTTCAAAATATAAACCCAAAGTGGACAGACTCAGAGCCCAAACGGTAGGCAGCTTCTCAATTACGACAGAAATTCTGAGACACATCTCCCTAGAATCGATGGAGCAAGCCAACAAAGCAGAGATCAGTTAAGACGGGAGACTGAAGACTCGGCCAGCTGAAGACACACAGCTGGCTGACATGCGTGCAAAGCCACAGAAGCACTGGGGCAGCCTGCGTCAGATGCCCGAGCTGTGAGGACGGCAGCACACTGGCCTGTGTAGTCTCCACGGGCTCCAGGGGATGGAATCACCTGCAGTCGAGCTGCCGTCAAAACAAAGGGAAGTCAAACAATCTTCCTGTGTTCAGAAGTCAGGAAACCACAGTCCTAAACAATGAGGGTTCAAAGGAGCTACACCCCTTCACGGTATTGACCCTGAAGAATCCAGGTCATCTTACTAGAGTGACACATGCAGACCCGTGTCTATAGCTGCACAATTCACAACAGCCAAACAATGAAGCCAGCCGAAGTGTCTGTCCGTACACGAATGACAGAGAAAATGAGGTGTAGATACACAATGGAGTTTTATTCAGCCATAAATAAAAATGAAATTATGGCATTTTCAAGAATATCAATGGAACTAGAGACCATCATATTAAGCAAAATAAGTGAAACTCAGAAGGTCACGGGTCATATATTTTCTCTCATATGTGGAAGCCAGAAAGGATAAAAAAGAAAGCAAAGGTGGGGTTGCTCTCCTAAAAATCATAAGGAGATCAGTAGAGGAAAGGGACCAAAGGGCGGTGATACTGGCCAAGTTGGGTCGTATTGTGAGCAGGCGTGGACAGGAACAACACATCCCACCATCGTCTGTGACGGTGATGCTCTGATAAAAAATGAGGGAAGAAAAGAAGCTACTGTGGAAACTGGAAACCATATTTAAATTAGTTATGTGAACATAAAGCCAACTTGTGGGATGAAGCCAAGCTGGGGAAATGTGTAGCCTCAGCATGCACATGTTGGAGAGAAGGGAGCCTGTGGTTACTGACCTCGGAGAGTTATGGAGGAAAGGTAGGAAGGACGGAGAAGTGTGCATCACAGGAAGGGGCCCACAGCTGGGGCTGCACGGCGGGCCCTTGAGGCTCATGAGAAAAGGAAGAAAACACACGTAACTCCAGAGAACCTAAAAGCTCAGTGAAGAAAACAGACAACTGATTTAAAAATGGGGAAAAAAGATGCTCACAGACCTTTCCAAAGAGGACAGGCTGCAGGCAGCTGGCCGGCCCCCTTCCTGCCACCAGAAACCTGAAATCAGCACAGCAAGGAGACACCACAGCCCCCACGGCCGAACCCAGAGCCACATGGAGCGTGGAGCGGGGCTCTGGGAGGCCGTGGGGTGCTTGTTAACATCGAAACACACTTGCCTCAAGACCAGCGATTGTGCTCCTCCTGTTCACCCAAGCCCCTGCACCTGCCTGCTGAGGGCTGGGCAGCTGCCCAGGCCCCGTGGTCGGTGGGTGGAGAGGAGCACCGGCCGCGGCCCTCAGGCCGCAGAGCACCATCCAGCCCTGAAGAGAAGGCACCAGCAAAGACACGGAGGGAATTTAAATGCACATTTCAAGGGAAGAAAGTCACCTGCAAGGCTGCTGTGACACATGACAAAGGTACTGTGGTCACCGTGGGGGCACGGTCTGGGTAGCAAGCTGGGTCCCAGAGGATGCTCAGGACACTGGGCTGTGCATCTGTCAAGGACCATGGACAAGCCACGCTGGAGCATGTTGTCAGCCCTAGAGGGGGCGTTGCTGCAGGTGAGGGGCAGCCCAGGGACTACAGCTCCTGCCCACTTTTCCTGCAAACCTCAAACTATTTTTAGAAGTGAAACTCATCAATTTAAGAGTATAACAAAAACTCTACTAGTAAGATAAAGAAGAAAGACGTCCATATTCATACAATCTGCGGGATACAGACTTGTGCAAACGTGACCAGCCACGGGACCTGGGCTCAGGACATCCGCCCTGGAGACCCTGTGCACCCTGGTCAGAGCTGGGCCCACTCACTGTCCTGGCCCTCAGGTCCCTGCACATGGTGCCCAGATGTGTGGTCACACAGGTCTAAGTCAGCAGGCTTTGAGGGAAGCAGGCAGCCTCCTGGTGCAGGTGGGTTGCTCTCCCTAGTCGCCCAGGGCCTCTGAGGAGGGAGGAGGGAGGGAGGCGGGAGGGCCCAGGGGCTCTGGACCAGGTTCCCGTGCTGCCTTATTGCAGGGCACTGGTCCCTTCAAGCCTCGTCTGTGCTGTAGCTCTTGATTTCCCTCCTTCCTGAGACTGAGCCACCCCAGGCAGGGAGGCACTCCTTCACCTCTTGGTGGATGTGGGGTCACCTCTGCCACCTGACTTCGGGGAATGGCACTGCTAAGCACCTGGGAACCGCATTCTTTCTTTGTCTGAAGGATATTCTACTAGGCAACCACTGGTTTTTGAAATTAGATTGCAGTAAAGCATAAGAATTAGAAGTGACCCTGCTGTGTGACATAGGGTGGTGATGATGACACCCCTGTTCCTGGGCTGCAGCCCTTCCAGCCTTGCCTCTGGGCTGGGTGTTGTGAGAATGACGGCACAGGATTCCCCACCAGTGAGTGGGCAGCCCGACTGGGTCAGCGGGTGCAGGCATGAACCACTGTTCACAACCAAGGGGCTGCGGGGCCTCAACTGCCCCGGGAGCACCCGCCACACCTCGAACTTCCAGAAACTCTGGGTGCAAATGGTGGAAGGGTCCACCCACATTGGATCACTGACCCCTGGAGCTAAGTGCTGCCCCTGACCCATGTGGGCAGTTGAACTTAAGGTCGTTCGTGTGAATTTCCAGGGACACCAAATAAAACACAGACACACTTTACCTTAAAACAAGCTTCTCAGCCCCCCAAATGGGAGAGCAAGAGAAAGTCACGAGAGGCTGGCAAGAGAGAGCAAGCATGTTTGGAGGTGGGCTTTAATTGGGGGGGACCCTTGTTCTTAGAAAGTTCTATCCAAAAAAGGCAGAAGGGGCAGGGTTATGAGGGACAGGGGAGTGTGATTCAACCCCAGGGGTGAGACTTACATCTGAAGACACACCTTTCATTTCCTGAGCTGGGACAATGTCCAAGTCACCACAAAATGGAGAGACTGGTCAGAGTCTCCTGCTTCAGAACTGGGAGGCAGGGGTCATTCAGAGTGGCTCCCCACAGCTGAGACCCCCAGGGCCCACCCACCTCACATCCTGAGAGCCCCCAAGTGCCTTGGAGGTTCCAGGTCACCCGCTCTGTCTCCTGCTGCCCCAGGGAGGGCCTTCAGACCTCTGCAGGTCCTCCTGCCTGGAGACTTGGTTGTCCCCTGGACCCTAAAGGGCAGGACCTCAGGCTCCCAGGAGGAACTGAGACAGCGTCCTTCATGAAGGGCCTCAAGGTGGGACTTGAGGACTAGGGCACAGGAGAGGCAGGTGCAGGGCACTGGGAGCCGGGTCCAGGAGCCTGGGGCCATCTCTCTGTTGCTCTGGGGACCACCCTCTGGGGTCAGCCCCAGCTTGCTCCCAAGAACCCAGGACTGGATGCGGAGCCCTGGAGCAGCAGCCTCTGCGGGTGCACAGGGAGGACCCAAAGGACAAGCATGGGCGGGGGGCACAGCTCAGCCAGGGCTGTGACACACGCCCCGGGGCAGAGCGCGGCATGGAAACAATGAGAACACAGCTCTCCGTGGCCCTTTACGGGAAGGCAAGGCGGGTGGGAAGTGCTGACGACTGCTCTCAGTTCTTATCTGAGCCTGCTGTCACCACAAGTGGCCCCGCTGCCAACTGCACCCAGGCAGGCTGCCTGGCCTGGCCTCCCTCCCTGGGTCTTGTTTTAAACTGGTGCCTGGTGATTACACGAGGCGTGTCCACGCAGAACCTGCTGGAGCCATCTCATTCGCAGCGCCCCCCCCCCCCCCCCCGCCCCTTCCTCTCCCTCTGCCTCCCTTGTTCTCATGAGACTGTTTTCCCCTTCTCCTTTTTTCTCTCCGGCTCCCACATCTGACCCTTGACTCCAGCCAAGCTCTTTGAACAGAGTGTATTAGTCAGTTTGATTTTGGTGTTTTCGATGCTCACATTGGCACGTCATCTTGACATGACTCTGACTCTTCCTTGCTTTGGGGGACAGTGAACTGTCACTCTTCTCCTGCTCTCTGCTGAGCCAGGGGCTCCTCAGACCACAGTGATGGGCTGCCCCAGCGGGAGGCGACTCCGGCCAGCTTGGGGTGGTCTCTTGGTGGCAGGGCCAGCTGTGGTCCCCAGTACAGTTCTCATTCCCCAGGTTGCCCATCCCTGGAGGTGTTTCCACAGGGACCCCTGGGAAAGGGGTCTTCTAGACTGCCAGGCAGGACCCCACCCTCCCAGGCTGGGTCTTCCCTCCTGACGTCTGAGGCTGCGCCCTGCTCCTCGCATCCAGATCTTGCCCAGCAACTCACTGCTGTGTCTGTTTGCTTTGCAGGGCTGGAGGACAGTGCTGGCCCTGTCATGTCTGTGTCCGGCTTCTTCTGTCACACTGTCCACAAATGTGCCAGAGCAGTTTCTGAGGCTAATCTCCCATCCCAGAGCCCCGGCACTTGCTGGACACTCCGTCTTGCCAGGTCTCCAGAGCCACAGACCTCCTTGCCTGTCCTGGATGTGGTCCCAATGGGCCTCAAGCAGATGGGACCCAGGGCAGTGGGCTCAGGAGGAGCTTCAAGGGCTGAGTGGTGGGCAGTAGCAGCACCTGAGGAGCTGGGCCAGGTCCACTGCCCCATGCCAGGAGTGGGTGGGGAGGGGCATCTGCCAGGTCCCTGGTCATGAGCCAGGACCCCAGTGTGGAGTAGGAATTGCCTTCCCCGGGCTGGTTCTCTCCACTCTTGCGGGAGGCACATCTGCATCCTGGCCAAGGCACCCCGGCCCCTCTCTCATGGCCTGGTGTTGTCCACCTATTCTGCAGCAACCAACCCTGGGGACATGCCCAGGAAGGGGTCATGGGGCCTGAGAAGGACTGACAGGCCCAGGGGACACTGCTGCCCACTGGGGACCTGGGAAGGGCCTGCGGGTGAGGAGTGGGTGGGTTCCCCACTGCAGTTGGAGGTTTTCACAGCTGGGGAGCTGTGTGAGCAGAGACGAGGGTCAGGAAGGCTGCTGTGTTTTTGGCACTTTCTCGAGTCAGGCCTCGGGAGGGCCAGCACCTGCCTCCACCTCAAGCCTCAGCCCAGCCCCTCGACCTGTCCGCCTTCCCGCAGCTCCGTGAGCAGGACAGGAGGCCCCAGGCTTCTGTCATTATTTAATAGAATACAAGAGAGCCCAAGTCCTGACTGCAGAGGTAGCCCTGGTCAGTCCAGGCCCTAGCTGCCCTGTCCTGGATGGCATAAGAGTAGGGGCACCCAGCACAGGGAATACTTGACCACCTGGCCCACCCTTGGTGGGAGCCCGGCCAAGATCTGCTGAAAGTAAACACTGTGACTGAGAGCCAAGGAGAACTGGACTTCCTGGAGAGGACACACGGGGACCCGGGGTGCCCGTGCCACTGCCCCACTCCTCCTGCCTAGGATGGCCATGGCTGGGAGGGGCCCTTGCTGGTCTGGCTGACATGGGACCCAGTCCTCCAGGTGAGCAGGGAGGGTGCTGCAGGGCCCTGGGGCAGGTGGCCTCTGGCTCTGCCCTCTCCCTCACTGCTTCAGCCAGCTGGAGGACAGTCCGAGGTGCTGCTTGGACCTGTATGAGGTGGGAGGGTCCCTGCAGAGGGTCCGATGGGTGGGAGCCCTGTGCCCCCCCCCTGCTGGCTGTAGGAGCTCTCTTCTGGCTTTGCTGAGACTCCATTAAGCCCCACGAGCATGTGGCCCCTGGCCCATCTGTGGACTGCCCCTCCGTGGCAGCCTGAGGGCTGTGTCCACTGTGTGCCTGGACATCCTTGCTGTGAGGTGCCTCCCAGAGCCTGCCCCTCAGCATTCTGCAACCAGGCCCCAGCTTTAGGCTTGGGGTTCCCTGGGAGGCTGTGGGGGCCACGGTGACTGGAACAGCAGGATTTGGAAGAGCTGGGCCCAGGCCAGCTATCTCACAAGGCCTGCAGCCATGGCCATGTCCAGCACTCCACATCGGGAGACGGTGGGCTGCCGCTGCCAGCTCATGGAGAGCATGGAGAGGAGCATCCATCCATGGGTCCTGGGCAAGGCTGGCACGGGGTGCTTGGTGGTCACCACCCAGGTGGCTTGGCCCCTGAGAGGCCCCTGGTGCTCTGCCTCTTCCTCAGGGAGGAGCTGGCCCTGGGTTCTTGGCAGGAGGTTGGCAGGATGCCAGTGGTCACAGGGGCCAAGAGCAGTGTCCATCCTCAGGCCTCAAAGGCTGGGGACCCTGGGGGCTGTCTGCTGAGCCCCTGCGGCCTGGGGATGAAGGGAAGACAATGGTGGCATATTCGGTGTGTATGCAGGAGGCAGGGGGCTCAGGGGTGGGGGTTCTCTCTCGCCACTGGAAGTCCAGCTCCCCGTAGTCCAGGGTGGAGACCGGCACTTCTGAAGCCTCCTCCTTAATAGAGAGAGGGAAGGAGAAGTTGGCAACCTCGGAGAGGGTCCTGCACCCCACAACCCAGACCTGGGCTTCAAGGCCATCCCCCATCGCCCCTGCGTGACCTGAGAGGCAGCCCCTCTTCTATGGCTGTTTCCCCTTGTCAACTGTCCCTGGCACTCCTGTAGACCCAGGGTTCCAAACTGTGGTTTCTAGCTCTCTTCTGTCCAGAAGAGGGTAAGCAATGCCTCACCCACACCGCAGCTCACAGGCAGGCACACCTGTGGGCTGCGGAGCTCGAGGGTGTGGCTCTGGGCACCTGGGAGAAATGGCCCTGTAGGCCCACAGACACCAGCCCCTCTGCCTGGCCAAGCCCTGAGGCAGAGTGTTGGTCACTCGGGTAGGGGACCCAGACTCACCAAGGGCTGCTCTTTACTTCTGGCTCCTCCAGCCTCTGCAGGGAAACACATTCTGAATCAAGGGGCAGACGCAGGCTGTCCTCCCAGGAGAGGGCCTTAGTCGGGGTCCCTACCTGGGGCTTCCTCGCCTGCCTGGGGTTTTTCAGACCCTGAGGGGGTGTCCAGGGAAGGGTGCCATGACTTCCTCCCTGGGCAGGGACGGGCCTGCCTCTGCCTCCCACTGGTGCACGGTGACAGAGACGCTGCAGTGGCCCTCCACGTGGCAGAGATGCTGTGTATGGCCCTGGCTGCCCAGAGGGGCACACAGCACACCCTGAAGCACGAGGAGGAGGGAGCTGGGCATCAGAGCCTCCGGAGACAGTGAAAGCCCAGGGACCTGGCCACTCTGAAGGGGACGTGGGGCTCTGTTCAGGCTGCAGGGCAGCATCGCGCCACTGGCACTCTAAGAAGCTCGTCCAGGACAACTGGAGGTGGCTGGTGAAGGGCTGGGACTGCAGCACTGACTCGGATCCCTCCCTCCAGCCCTAGAGAGGCCTGTCGTCATCAGTGACTCAGCGAGGATGGGCTGTGTGCACCCACTGTGGTCAGGGTGTAGTGTGGGCAGAGCAGCGGGAGGCCTGGCAGAAGCTGGGGCTCTGCTTCTGCAGGACAGTGGCAGGGCTGTGACAGGCCTTACCTGGCAAGGCTGTGGAACAGGTGGTGGCCAGGACCCAGGCCAGCAGCAGCAGCACTGGGACACCCACCAGGACGCTCGTGACACCAACCACCAGGCCTGGAAGCTGGCCTGCTGGCCTGGGCGAGGGGCGGGGATGTGCTGGGAGGGGCTCCAGTGTCGGGGACTCTAGGACCCTGTCTGGAGGGCCAGAGGGACAGGGGTCAAGGTCAACCATATTGTGTCCCCCAGGCCTTCAGGGGGACCATTACCCTCTTCAAAGTCTGAGGAATGTCTCCTCAGATCCATGGAGACAGGCCATGGTCCTGGCCTGACCTTGGGAGGGCTTCCGAGCACAGCCCACTCTGGGGGCACCTGGCCCCCCTCAGAGGCACACGGGGCTGGGGGCTTCCAGAGGGCCCTTGGGGTGTCAGGTCCCGCAGAGCCCTTGACTGAGCCGGGGGGGGGGTCCCTGGACAGGAGGTGCTGCCCACCCTGGCCGTGCCTGGTCTTCACCTGTCACCCTGAGCTCTGCAGCTGTAGTCTCCTGGATCTGCACCTTGGAGGACAGGGAGATGGCCCCGCAGAGGTAGAGGCCACTGTCACTGCGCTGTGCGGAGATGACGCTCACGTGGAAGTCGAGCCTGCTGGGCAGCTGAGTGACTCGGAAGCGGGGGTCCCTGCCAGGCTCACTGAGGCCACTGCGGAAAGAGGCCAGCTTGATGTTCTGCTTGCTGGGGCTCAAGCGGTACCAGTTCAGCACCAGGTGCTCCGACCAGTTGGAGAAGCTGCACGTGAAGGTGGCGTTCGCTCCTTCCTGCACAGTGAGCTGAGCTGGGGAGCAGCTAAAGAGGCTTGAGGGCCTGTTGGAGGACTCTGAGATGGACGGAAAAGAAGCAGCATGAGGAAAGGGCCTGGGGCAGCCCACGTGACCCTCCCCTGACACGTCCTGGGACAGGAGTGGCTCTCACAGGCTTCCCTGGCTAGAGTCCCTCGGCAGTGCCCTTGCCCACCTTCCTCCAGCCTCTCCTGGAGCCCTGGGGACCAGACGCTCACCTCTACACAGGGCTTTCCTTTGACTTTCTTCTGAGACCTGAGACTAGGGCTGGGGTCCAATATTCTGGCTCTGAACCAGGTTCCCCTAGAGACCCTGGCCCTCCTTCCCTGGACTCCAGGTTGCCAGTCCCCCAGAGAGGGCTGAGCTGGGGCTCAGGTGGCCTGGCCTGGCCCTGGATAGGGTCACAGGGATGCTGAGCTGATGGGGAGGGACCTCTCATGGAGAACCCAGCCCTGGAGGAACGGGGCTCCTTGGCAGGTTTGGTTCTGATCTGTGCCCTGGCCCAGAGACCATCTGGCATGGACAGTGCTGCCCTGGGCAGTGGGCAGGGTGGGGGCCCACATGTCCCAGCCAGACCCTGGGACTGGAGATCACAGCAAGGGGCCCCCAGAGACCAGTTGGGCCACTGTGCTCAGATGAATCGAAGGGGAGGCCCCAGGGCTGGGCTCCCCGCGCTCACGGGCATGTCTCTGCCAGGGCCCTGTGGGGACACTCCACACAGCACACCTGGGGGAGGCCCTCTGAGAGGTGGGCAGGCTCTAGGAGGTGGTGCCCATGACCTCCCATCCACAGTGGGAAGGTGAGGCACAGGCCTAAACCTGGTGCAGACCCATGAGGCTAAGCCCGCGCACAGCGAAGGACCCTGCCACGCACACACCTCAGGGCGCTGCCCAGCCTCAAGGCCAGCTCTGGGACCAGGCCGTGAGGACACCCTCCCACACTTTCTCAGTTTGCATCCTCTGCTGCTGTCCTGCTCACATGCCAGCTTCACCCCAGGTGCCCGCTGCACAGCGGCAGAGTGAGGCTGCCGGGGCCACGGTCCCTCTGTTCCAGGGACAGGAAGGCCTCTGAGATGACGGGCTCACGGTGGCCGTGGCGCCAAGGAGGAAGAGGGCCAGGCATCGGTGGCGAGCCGACATGAGCCCCCTGGCACAAGGTGGACAGTGCCTGGAGTCGGGGTCTTTGAAGGGCCTGTGGTGGCCGACCTGCTGGGTAGGGCGCCTCCTCCCCACCCCAGGGCAGGCTGGTGCACCACTGCTCCCTTGCTGCCCACGAGCCATGGATGGTGAGGGCCCCGGAGGCCCAGTAAGGTGCAACTGAACATGAGGTGGGCAGACTCAAGAACTGAGCTAGGGGCCTCCCAGGGCCTGCACAGAAGTGTCGAGGCTGCGCCCAGGAGGCCCTGGTGGGCTGTGGTGCAGGTCTATGGCTCTGTGAGGCCAGGAGCAGCAGGGGAACGAGGAGGTCGAGGGGACTGGAACTGCCAGGCCAGAGCTGGGATGGCCTGTCCCGGCGGGCTTCCTTCTCAACAGGGTGACGCCCACTCTTTTGCTCATCAGGGTGACACCACAGCCATGGTGAGCCCTTTTCTCTGTGACCCTGTGTCCAAGTCACACATAGCAGCTGGGCACGCCGGCGCTTGGTGGTATCAACACGCACCTTCTTCTTGCTTTGGATCAAGAAACACATGAAACTTCAAAGAAAACCTTAAATAAACATTTACAGTTGGACTTAAGAGTCTGTGGATTCTACCTGCTGGGACACCAGATCTGGGTGTGCTGGTGCTGCTGCCAGGGCTCCATGTCACGCTGCTCCGGGTCAGGGGCCCCTCTTCATTCCACCCAGTGTGGCCACTCTGTGGCCTTCTTCCGGGTCCACAAAAATGGGGTACCCTACCCGGCTCCCCGAATCCATGGCCACACCCAGGCCCAACCACCAAAGCTTCCAAACAGATTCTCATGCCATCTTGCAGAAAAGCCCTGGGCCAGGCCAGGGGACCTCAGTCTCGGGAGCCTGTCCTGTCCCGTGCAGCTCCACCAGGCGCCTGTGGCCTGTTCCCTGTTGGCCTGGACGGCCCAGGCCTGTGGGTACACCCTTGCTCTCAAGGCTGGCTCTGGTCGGCCCAGGTAAGACCCAGTAGGATGGTGCTGGTGGGCTCCAGGACCGTTCCTCACCTGCTGCTGCGCCTGAATGTGTGACAATTGAGACACTTGCCTGTCTGCTGTCCTCCCTCTCACAGGGGACTGTGATTGCCTGGGCCTATCCTGGGGTCTCTGCCCTGGCCCAGTCTGGGTGACCTGCCTGGTTCTGTCCACATCTTGCCAGGGTGGTCGCTGCCCACTCTTGACCACCCCAGCACATGCCGACCACACTGGGATGCCTGTCCCAATCTGGCTGAGAGGTGCCAGCAGGGCAGGGAGGGCCCTCTCACAGACATCACCCTCACTGTGGGCCAGGCCCGGGAGGCAGTGCCCCTGGGGAAGGGCTGCCCTGCTGCCCTGCTGCTGCTCTGGGCTGCTTGACCAGGGGACTGCTGAAGCAGTGCTGTGGTGTGATGGTCAGGGGCTCGAGATGGCTGGCCAGGGCACAGGAGCACAGAGGGGACCCCTGCCAGGCATTTGGCCCACCCAAATGGAGGAAGGTGACCCTGTACGTAAAGGGCCCAAGAGGGCCCTGGAATGGCTGGGCACAGGCTGGGCCTTGCTGGGACATCATGGAATTCATCTGACCACAGGGACAGGCCCTGGTGAAGGAAGTGGGGGAGGGGCTGAAGCCCTGGGCAGCCCTCTGGAGGTCCCTCTCATGCTGGGCTGTCTTGCCTGGGGATGGGCAGAGGGAAGGCTACACGTCCTCCTGGGGTCCATGCACAGACATATCTGGGTAGAAGCACAAGGCGTGTTTTAAAAATGTCTGAGTGACCAGCTGTGGGGCTGAGGTCAAGGTGCTGTGCCCCAGGACTTCCGGCTTTTCTACACTGTCCTCCCAAACGCCCTTACTTGTGTGATCCAGGATCTCAATGTCGCCTCTCTGCAAAAACTGCCGTCGAAGCTGCCCTTCACTCTGCAACCTCGTGGCATAGAGGGGCCTCTGGCCTTTCTCTGAATCACTCCCCACCTCATGGACCTCCAGCTAGGCCCTGGGTACCCAAGGCTCGCTGGGAATGTCCTCTGGGGACCCACAGAGAAAGCCACCTGGTTCAGCCCCTCTGCCCACCTGCCTGGGCAAGGGGTCTAGGACAGGGGAGGGGGTTGTCAAGCACCCCAGGGTGCCCAGCAGGGACGGTGTCCCTCAGCTGGTCCAGCCCTGCCCCACCTACCCAGGGCTTCCACCTCAGGTCCACGGAGGGTTCAATGTTTGTCCCAGAATTCAGGTGTCAGAACCCCGTCCCCACAGTCACATACTAGAGGCATCTGGAGGGGACCGACAGGGCTGTGGGGCTTGGAGGCCCCACCAAGGAGGCCAAAACCTCGCTCCTGACTCAGGCAGGACTCACGTGGGTGCTGAGAGCACTGTCAAGTGAGTCAAGGGTCCCCAGCACCCCCACAGGCTCTTATCCACCCTGGGGAAAGAAGTGCCCTCACCCTGTGCCCAGGGTGGGATCCCTCAAGGCAGCCACCATGCTCCTGGGCAGCATGGAGCCGCTCGGGCAGATCTCAGCGGCCACAGTGACCCACACCGGGCTCTCTGGCACAATGCTTGCCCGTACCCGACTCCGAGAACACAAGAGCCAACAGACAGAAATGCAGCGGAGAACCCAGCTGGGATGTGACACCTGCGGAGCCCTTAAGCTGCCCCATTCAGGGGACAGCAGCGCAGCCACATGGGCCCTGGGAAAAGGAGCATGAGTCAGGGTGCTCCTGGGCTGCTTCTGGTGAGGGTGCTGGGTGGAGGGGGTCCCCAGAGGGCCTGGCTGGGTACCTGGAGTGAGGCACCCCGGAGGTTGAAACCCTGGCAGTAAGCTGAGTGGCAGGGAGCTGCGGGTGGTCTGTCCCTGAACTCACGCCTGGGGTCCTGTGCTAAGGTCACCACAGAAGGCAACCTTACCAAGAATAGGGTGGCTGACACAACTGGCCAGGAGGAGGTCATTTTGGAGTCGGGCAGGCCCTCAACCCGTAGCATTGGGGAGCTGGCAGAACAGAAGACATGGACAGACTCACACAGGATGAATGCAGAGCTCAGGAGATGCTTCCGGAGCCCGAGATGCCAGAGGCGGCTGGCCAGTCCACAGGCTGGAGGGAGGTCCCCCTGGAACGGCCAGAGGGTGCCTGCCTGTCTCGCAGCCCCAGCAGCCTGGCCGACCAACACAGAGGTAGCACTGCGGTCAGCAGGCCATGGGCTGGCGTCGCTACTGTGCTTCAACTTTTCCCTATGGTATTTTCCCTAATCACAGGTAGGCAAAAATCAACAAATCTGACTTTAAAACATGCCACTGGCTGTGTGGTACCTTGATGGTGGAGCACGGGCCCAGCGTGGATGAAGCCCTGGGTTCCATCACCAGCCCCACCAAAACCAAACAAAATCCCTTAACCCAAAAATGTGCTCTGGGTTGGGCTGGGCACCTTTCACAGATGGTATGGTGAGTCTCGTGGCTGACAGGCAAGCACTAAGTCCTCGAGCTGAAGGGGCGAGAAGCAGAGAGGCTCTGGCCTGCCACCGTCACAAGGTCACCACTAAGCAGGAGCCGTCACCTAAGTGTCCCACTTCAGGGCTAAGTCCTAGTGGCTCTTACTCCCCAGGAGTCTGGGGTACCATGAACATGAGTGAGACCCATGCAGAAGGTGCAGGACCACCCATGAGAATGACCAGGATGAACGATGTGAGTCTGTTGGGGACAACGGAAGTCCCAGGCATCCAGGGGCCCTCAGGTCTGGCAAAGGGTGAGCAGGACACTGCCTTGATGAAGTTTACGGTGCTGAGGGTTACTGGTGGGGAAACTGAGGCACAGCACCTTTGAGAATCTTGCCCAGGCACAAGCCAGTGTCTGGAGGCAGAGATGACCTCCCCTTTCTCAGTGTGGGGTGCAGGCAAGCTCTGGCACAGACCTTTTGTGTGGGGCCATGGGCTGACTCACAGCCACCCTATACCCCTCAGTTCTCTTTCCTCAGACCAGGCACAGCCCTCTGCCAGGCTCCCACAACAAGGCCCCCCTTCTAGCCACAGGCCCTTGGCCACCATCTCCAGGTCTGCTTCCTCCATGGACGCCTGAGAGCAACCCATGGGTCTTCTCAGAGAGGCCAGCTCTGAGTGCGGAGGCAGGCCCTTGCTGAGGACCCAGCCACAGCCAGGCCTGAGAGAGGGGCCTTTGGGCATGAGGAATGTTAGGGTGGCCCAGGACCTGTCCCTTGTCTGGGTCCGGCAAGGTCAGAGGGTCATCCTGGCCCTGGAGCTGGGAGCCCCCTTCTCAAGATGCCGGCCTGGGCCTGGGCATTCAAAGGGATGGAGATGTGCGGCACAGAAGAGTCAAGGGCACGGGCAGCCCAGGGAGGGGCTTCCTCCACTGTGGGCAGGAAGACCAGGGGTCCCCTGTATGGGGCTCAGTGCCAGGGTGCTGGACCCCAGGACTCCAGCCTCCCCAGAGCTCATGGTGGTCACTAGAGCCCCTGCTGGCAAGCGCCCTGGAGTCTGTCCAGAGACCCAGGGGGCTACCTCCTGGGCCCACGAGGGGCTGGAGGACAGATGGCCAGTATACAGGACAGTTAAAACATCAGCACCCCATCTGTGCTCTGTCCCAGCGGGGCTGCCCCATCCACACCCAGGCCTGGCAGACTCGACACACAGGGCCCTGGTGCCAAGGCCTGGGGCTCTGGCCAGACTGACCATGTTCTGCAGAGAAGGTGCTGGCTGGCATCCCACACCCAAGACAGCTTACACGGCACAAGAGTTGTGCCTGCCAGAGAGCAAGGAGGGCAGAATTGGAGGCCAGAGTAGGAGCCTCACCTGCCAAACACAGCCCCCCGCACCTGCCCCACCCAAGCACCCTTTCCCACCACAGCGCCCGAGGGTGCCAGTCCCTCTGAACCAGCCCCAGCCCTGATCCCATGTCTCGGGGCCCCATTACCTAGGAGCCATCCTGGCCTCCAGCCCAGCTGCAGCACCGCCCAGGCCAGCAACCAGGTCACCCACCGGCCCTGCATGCCCAGAGAGCCTGCCCGCGCCTCGCACCAACTGCCGAGGCCTCCATAGTGGCTCCGTCAGAGATGGCAGGAAAGGAAACCGACCTGGGTCAGTAGGAGGGAGGGGACCTGCCCTCGGCCCCCGCCCCCTCTTCCTCCACTTCCACGTGGGCGGGGAGAGCCTGGGGCGCGGGGAGAGCAGGAGTGGGGGAGGAGGGCCGGCGGGGGAGGGAAAGAAGTGGGGGAGGGGAGGACAGATGGGGCGGGGGAGGGAGACCGACCGACTGGAGGGCAGGGGGCGCGGAAAGGGCGGGTGGGAGCCGAGGGGAGAGGGGCGGGCGGGGCGAGCCGGGGAGGGGGAGGGGGAGGGGGGGGGCGGCGGGGGCTTGGGGGCTCCGGCCGGGCGGGGTCCTGTGTGCGGGCCGTCTGGCCGGCCTCTGGGAAGTGGTTTGCTGGTTTCGTGGCGCGCTGCTCCGAGCATCCCGTCGAGCAGTGGAAAACAGGAAAACACACACAAAACTGCTGATATTAGCGATGACACGTGGGTCTCACCAGCCCGAAATAACCCGCCGCTGGAAACCGCCTGGCAGCGCGCCCCGGCGGCGAGGGCGAGCGGGCGGTGGAAAGAGCGCGTCAGGGAGCCGCGGCGCCGCGGGGCGGGAGGGCCCCGGCCGCACCTGCGGGGCGCGCAGCGGGGCGGGGGCGGGGCGGGCCAGGCGCCCGACGGAAACCTCCCAGTCTCGGTTCCACCCTCTGTTCCGTCTTGAGTCTCGGTCGGACGGCGGCGTTGGAGGCTTCCAGTGGACCCTGAGGCCCCCGCCTCTGCAGGACAGAGCTGACCAGAGTGCTGGGTGCACCTGGGCAGCGGGCGGGATGCCTGGCGTGGGAGATGTCGCCCCTCCTTGGGGTCTCCTCACCACCCCAGGCGCTGCCCTTGATTCTGTCTGCAAGTGCTTGGGCACCTCTCCACCGGGAGAGGACCCTACCCTCTCCCCTTTCTTTCCTTCACTTCTCTTTCCCATCCTCTCCCTTTTCTCCTCTTCCTCTCAGCTACTTGACCCTGCGTCTGTCCTGCTCCTAAGGAGGGGTAGGGGCCATAACCTGACAGGGGGACCTGCTTGGTCCCCCATGCCACCATTTCCTGGAGCCCCCAGTGGACACAGAGATGATGCCTGGGGATGCTGGGGTCCTGGAGCCTGAGGGCCAGGGCCTGGAGGCAGGCAGAGCAGGTATAAGGAGCTGGCAGACCTGGACCCAGAGCCTCCCAGACCACACCCACAGCCTCCGACCAAAACCCTCCCCCAAACACAGTCCTCAATATCCACTACCCCACAATACGTCCCTCCTCCACCACACTGTCTCCTGAGCATGGGGGCCAGCAGCCTTGTCCCCCTGTGCTGATCTCTTCCCACTCTTCCTGGGAGGGATAACCCAGCCATCTTCTTCTGGCCACACTTCCCTGTTCTATCCTGTTTTTGAAACATTTCACATGCCTTGGCTGGGTGTTGGGTGGAGACACAGTCTGAGGCAGTCGAAGGGGTCTTTAGAGCAAGTTTTGTGTTTTGGTTGAGGACAACTGAGGCAGTTGTAGGAAATGGTACACTGGAATTACTGGTGAGTTCTGACTCTGAGAAGCTTAGATGCAGCGCAGGTGCAGGGAGCTGACTGGTGAGCCGCCCTGTCTCAGCTGGGCTGAGGGAAGCCAAAGACGGCCCTCACAAAACCCCACACCCTCCTCTTGGCCCCGGGGCTGGTTCCCACGCTGGGGTGTGCCTGCCACACAGTGTCCTTCCCTGGGGGTCCTCCAGCCACATGTCTCAGTTCTCTGGTGTGGTGTGCACCCATGATTTCCCAGTTTCCAGCCATTTCCCCACCGGACAGGGGAAATTCCTGTGATTTGAGTCAGGCTGTGGGAAATGCTGGCGGGGGTCTGAGTGGGCCCATTTTCACTTCTGCAATGTGATTGCTGGTGTCGGGGTAGCGTCTGGGTGGTGTTTCTGTTTGGTCAGTTGGGTGATGAGTTCCCTGCTGGACCGCTGACAAAGTGCTTACCACTTGGCCAAGAGTTTCCTGAAGCCAGATCTTGAGAAGTCCCCCAGTGTGGGGGCCTCCGATCCCCTGGTCTGAGGAGAGGAGAGCTGATTTCCCAGGTTACCCACCATGAGTCAGTGTAGACAGGTGGAAAGTGGGGGGAGGGTTAGGGAAGTTCCCTCGGGGGACAGGGCTAGGGACGGGCAGGAAGCCCTGGGGTCATCTGAACCACTTCTGCAGGCAGTGCCAGCACCCCTGACCCGAGGCCCGCTGCCTGGGCCCAGAGCGAGGTTCCTGTGGGCCCTGTGGCCCAGGCAGCGCCTCCTTCACGGCTTCTTCTGAGGTTGGAACAGGAAATGGTTAATACTGTTTGCAAATAAAAACTTTCTGTTCTATCCTGTTTTTGAAACATTTCCCAGAAATTGAAGAAAGAGCAGCTAATATACTTGCCCAATTATGAACCAAATTTAAAACACCGAATGGGGCATTTCCAGTTTATCACCCTGGAGGACCACTGGGCTGTCGCTAAGACAGGAGACTCCTACCCACCTTCCGTTTTCCCTAAGCTTTCTGGAATTCCATCCCTACTTTAAATGTCTAAATGTGATTGTGTATTTGTGTGTGTGTGTGCTGTGTGTGCAGATGTGTGTCGGGGGTGTCAGGTCCCAGCTGGCTTCCCAGGTGGCTGAGCGCCCCACTTGGCACCGAAGCCAGGCCAGGCTGGCAGACAGTGGCTTCCCTGTGAGTGTGTGGATGGTCCGGCTCCTGGGAAGGCTCCCCGCTTGTGTCCGGCAAGGCCCCGGAACTAGGGCTCGGTGGAGGCCAGGCCACTGAGCGGGCTGTGGGACCCAGGCTTCCTGGACAGCTGCCAGCCTAGCTGCTGGGGACCCCCCACGGTGGGGGCAGTGCAGGGCAGGAGCCTGCGCAGAGCTGGGCCAGGAGCACATACCTTGACCCTGTGGCCATTAGTGGCTGCGGTGCCAGGGCTCACACCCTCTGCTGGGGCTTGGGGCACAGGAGCCTCCCCCCAGTACAGGGGGAGCCTCCTGCTTCTGACAGGTCCTGTCCCTGCTCCGTGCCTCCCCGTGTCCCTCTCCTCTCTCCTCACACTCAAAGGCTGGTTCCTGCTGGGAGAGAGCAGTCCAATGGGTTGACTGGCCTTATGCTGGGTCCTCTCTTGGCCTACAGCCTCACTCCTCTGTGTGTGTGTATGCCAGAGGGTGTGGCTTCTGCCACCCTCCGGGTCTCACCCAGGCTGAGGACACAGGCTAAGGGGACAGTGGTGGGCTACCTGCACTTTGGGGAAGTCTTGCAGAGGCCGCCCCACCTGCCAGCTGCCCTTGCCCTCACTGAGTGGAGTTCAGAAGCTGGGCCCTGGTGGGTGAGCAAGGCCAGGAGCCGAGGCCTGGGATGGGTGCTAGGCCTCCCTCCAGGAGGGCTCAGGGTGCTGAGCTGGTACCAGTCTTCCCAGACAGTTCTTTCCCATGGCCCACTGATGCTCTGTCCTGGCCTGTCCCAACCTGTGACCTGCTAGCAGGACAGAAGTCCCCGCTGAACCTGGCTAGCCTGGAGAGACCAGTGTTGACTTGGTACAGCCTGAGGAGTGTGCCCCCATGTCCAGTTCCAGGCTGGACCCCAGCTGAGGCTCAAGACACACTTGAGGGGGGGGCATGCAGTTGCCTTCGTGGATTCCTGATAAAGAAACAGGAGCATTTGTGGTGACCTGTGTATCAGCCAGCTTGGATGTAGCCTTTGGGGACCTGGGTTGTGGGTCTGCAGCCATAAATGGGCAGGTGGGCAGAGGCATACAGCCCCGGCTTCTCTGTGGACCTGGGTGTCTGGAGAAGTCTGGGGTAGGTCTGAGGAGAGCCATTAGATCGGGTCAGAGCAACTTGCTCCCTGCACTTTGGGGTCACAGTTGCCACCTGAAGGTGACTTTCTGGTGGGTGTGGTCAGCCACAATCCCAGAGCCTTTCCTGAACTCTCAGGAGCCTGGGAGATGGCCAGAGTACTGGAGACAGCCGGGGTGGGGCCCCAGAGCAAGGCTGTCGGGGCAGCAGGCAGCAGGATTTCCACAATGTCCTGGCACCAAAACAGAAGCTCACATCCTCAGGTACAGTCCTGGTGGGTCCTTAGGGCGGCTAGGGCCAAGTTCATGGTGGAAACTCCAGGCACATTGGCAGTTTGTCACCCTGGAGGACCACTGGGCTGTTATTCAGACAGCAGACTCCTGGTGCAGCTCATTTCTCACTTGAAGAAATACAGAGGTGGGTCAGGTAGAAGGATGTGGTGACACCAGTGGTTCCAGGGACAGGTTTCTGCTCTTCTCCTTCCACATACAGGGAAGGAGAGAGGAGGTGGAGGAGAGGGGAGGTGAGGAGAGGGGAGGTGAGGAGAGGGAGGTAGAGGAGAGGGAGGTGAGGAGAGGAGAGGTGGAGGAGAGGGAGGTGAGGAGAGGGGAGTGGAGGAGAGGGAG